CCAAGTAGACATTGTATGTCCAACAAATCACTTTTTATCAACCAAAGGTAACAATCCAAGCTCCTTAGTAAAGGTAGTATACTATTAACAGACAGAATTTCTATTTTTGACAATTCATCTAAGATTATGCGATTAAACGTTTCAATTCCGTGTGTATCGATGTAATTATTTATTACTGATTTAATTGAGTCGCAATTTGCTACATGTTCAGACAATTTTGCAACTAGTTCCATACATTTTGTCCGACAACATTGATCTAAGCATCCACACTGTGTGAGCAACCAATTCACAGCATCAATCAAAGTTGAACCTTCAAATTCAGAAGGTTTCCTACGATTGCGATGGTTTGCATTTAACAGATTTTTCTTCGCTATTAAAACTCTTTCAATGTGATTGAGAGCATTAATGATTGATGGATCATTGCAACCATTCAAACTTCTGACGAAAGTGTATAAAATTTCCAACCAATATATGGACACAGTTTTCTCATCTTCGCGCAGAATGGTATAAAGATGATTAAAAGCTGTTGCGCCTGCTATTCGTTTCGAGACAGAAGGATGAAGGGCAAAATTTGTCATTTTATATATGACTTTATCAATATTCTGACTTATTATATCATTATTAGACTGTTTTATAGACCATTTAGTAAATTCGGCTAAGCAGATGCCAGAAAATTCTCTAAGAGACGAATTTGCTTCATTGCAAAGACCTTCGAACAGCGAGTCGAGAAAATATATAGTAGCTGGAGATTTGAGCATGAATTTTGAGCTTAACCAATGAGTTAACTGTAGCACTAATGGATAAAAAATTTTTCTCGTTGCTTCTTCGTAATCGCAGCCCAAATTCAATAAAGCTGGACACAGCATTACATAGAGAGAAACGAATTGATCTGGATTAGATATTAACTGTTGTGATGTTTTGCCAAGAACATACGCCACTATCGTATGAAGTACTTCACAAGCAAGTACCTTTGTTCGTCTATCCCCAGAATTTTGAGCCAGTAAGATTATTCTTGGTAAAATTTTATCAAAATGGAAATCTATTTTTATATCAGAGAGGGTCAACGAGTATTTGAGTAAGTCTTTCTTGTCCCAAGTAGCTCCTGTGTCCATAGATCTTTTATATATGAAATTCAGTATTATATTTGTATCAAGTGAAGCAATAAACAATAAAACTCTCATCTGGAATCTTTCCAAAGTATTCTCATCATCTTTTAATACTATTCGTTTAATAACTTTCCGCTCCATTTTTATGATGTCCTGCAGAAGTTCTACAGTGCTTTCTTCGCTGTGCAAATATGGCTCTAAAAATGGTATTACTTCTTGTAAAAACGCAGCTGTGACTTGCTTATCGAAATAATTCGTCCATTTTTCTAACGTATTTAAAGCTTTACAAGCTAATTCAAAATCACTTATACCAATAGTAAATGCAATTTTAAATGTTTGAACTGTACTGTTCAGTATTTTTTCTACATATATCATTGGTACATCTAAAATTAAGTGTACGCATGTAATTAACAATTCATTGGAAAACGTAGGAATCAGATTCAACACGTTCATTATGTACTTGTTCAACATTTCTAATGTTTCTATCTCAATTTCATCAATACTTGAATCACAAATATGTTTAGATACCACATGGATTAATTTATAAAATCCTGATACTAAATGATGCTTGTGAGATTTACTGACAACTTTCAATAAAAAACTGTGCATTGTATTTATAAATAAAGAGGTATCCAAACTATTAATTATATCAACATATAAATCTGTAATATTGACAAACGTTCGAAAATCTGCCTCATTTGCAGCAATTTGAGAGAAGGCTGCATCTGAAAATATGTTATCTTCTTTCGTTTTTATATTCAGATTTAATTTGTCAATCAATGCGATTCCCACGTGTATAGTTGAATCAACTACATATTGTACAGTTTCTGTGCTATGTTTGAAATCTTTGCTATATTTGTTCTGATTTAAAAGTTGCAACCATAAAGACAAATAATTTTTATAGCACAGTGGTCGCTCCTGAAGATTATTCAATCCACGTTGTAATTCAGCATCAACGAATAAGGTGTGCGAACAGGTCCACGCTATTCCGTTATAAACTAAATATTTAAACAATTATGTATAAGATACCAGAATATTAGATTCCATTTGGAAATATTTGTAAAACATGTACTTACTCAAATTATAAAGAAATTCATCTAGAAGATTTCTATTGATTGTCATAATATTAATAATTGTATTTATTAATAAAAATACAGCAAAATTCTGTTTAGTGATAGGAAAATCAGGAAATCTTTTGATTAGAAGAATACTAAGTTTCGTAATTACATTAATTTGATCAATTGAAAGATTCGATGTATGCAATATTATTTCTGAAAGAGCTTCTTGGTAATTACAAATACTTTCCAAGTGTACTTTTTCTAAATCATCACTGTAAAATTAAGAAGATTAATAAATCTATATTATGAAATATTTCGGAAAAATGTATGGTTGATACCTTGAACAGAGTGACATAGCACAATTAGCTATCAAAGAAAACATATTTTTCACATCATTATCAGTAAAGTATATTTTACATGGTGCAGCCATTTGACTAAATCCATATATGATAAAACGCAGTATATTTGAATTTACATGATGGCTATTTTTTAATTGTTCCTCAAAATGATTTTTGAAATGCTAAAACATAACAAATGTTATGTTATATGTTAATTATAATATAATATTGGCTATTTTACAATTCTATAGACAATTACCAAGAATACTGCTTTATCAGCTTCAGAAGATTTGCTCTTTAAAATCTTTCCAATTATTCTGTAAAAACTTCTTAAAGCATATTGTCCACACTCACTGCATTGTACATTTTTGTCTTGAGCTAAATTTGTCAATAAATCATACCAATATTTATAATCACAATAAATAAAATTGCTAAACAAATCTATATGTTTGGACAACAAATTAATTGCTGATCTCATTGAAACTTTTTTAACCGAGTATTTTTTTGGATTACTTAATTCTTTCACCCATATGTACAATTCCTTATAATATTTTTTTTCCATCTTTTCTGGAAGTTTTGACAATATATTTGAAAAGGCATCGAAATATAGTTGAAATACATCAATTGAATGGGATATGTTTTGTGGATTGTACTAAAATTTTAAATATAAAAATGAAACTTCGATTTTTAAAAATATTAAACGATAAAATATACTTAAATATCAATAAAATATAAAATAACCTGAATGATAAAATCATTCCTTAGCTGTTGGAAAATTATATGATGTTGTTCTGTTGTTAGAACTTCTGGATAATGTTTTGCAATTGTCCCAAGCACAGAAAGTAACGAACTTCTTTCTGTAAATAATTAAAAATCATTATATTTATAATCTTAAATTATTTATATTTTGTTAAATTTGTTCTAACTCTACCTTTAATATTAAAACGAAATGAAGATATAAAGTTTTTTACAGTTTCATCTAATGCAATTTCATAATTGTCAAAACTTGCTATCAATTTATTAAATGTACTACAAGCGGCTTTCTGAATAAATGCTGAACATTTTGTCAGAAGTGCCAGTTGGCATATATTCTACAAATAAACAAAGCTTTAATATATTTTATAAAAAAGATGTATTAATTAGATATGCATTAAATAATATTTATACAATACCTTTGTTTCAATTATGTATGGTATGAATGTATCAGAGAATTGTTCTATGATAAACTCAAGAAGATGAAATGTTTCTACAATTATCAAATCAAAACCCTTTTGAGGTTTCACTTTGTTAAGTTCGTTATTAAGAAAAGAAAGCAACCCTTTGTTTTTATCAAATACTATAGAAAGCATTAATTCTAAAAATAAAAATTAATATTAGTGTTTGATTAAGTACTTTTTTTATTAGTTATACTTTGTACAAAATAAATGCAATATCTTATTGTAATATTGATATGTGCATACCACAATCATCTTTCGCTATGTTTTGAAAGTATCTTCTATCCTTCAAAATTTCCTTCAAATTTCTGCTGTTTCTTTCTTCTACAGCTCTTTCAAAAATATTCATAAACGTTTTAATTGATTCCATGTTTTAGTGTTTCAGCATTTAGTATTTTTTGACGACTGAATTATTTTGATATTTGATACAATACGAAATCTTTTCATGTCTACGTATATAACTTGTCACACCTTTCATCACATCTGCAAATAAGTGATGGAGTTACAAATTATTTCGATTAAATATACCACAAAAACATTTTTTGTACAATTTCAGGTAAATATAATTTTATAATATAACACAGAAATATGTAGCCAACTAGTTATGTATATGTTAATATATCAAAGTCATTTTAATTCAGTTACATTAAATATTTTAAGAAATAATTAAAATAATACAAAAAGATACTTTACTATTGCATGTTAACAAAAAGTATACGAAATTAAATAGACATGTTTATTAGAAACTTTATCATTGATAGTGATAAGACATCTGTTTCATTTTTGCAAATTTGTTTCATCTTACAAAAGATATTTATACCAAAACCGTAGAAACAAAAGGAATGCTGAATGATTTCATTTGATACATTGAATTAATAACGGTAAAATCAGGATTTATCCAGTAAGATTTATACATCAAATGTCAAGGGTCAGTCATATAGGCCATTTTCATAATCAGAAGATAAAACATCGCTGGGGGTATCCGTGGATTTATCAGAGAAATGTAATCTTCAAAGAGCAAGAAATATATTCTAATATTATTTCATTTATGCGAGGAATAATTTTTATATTAGTTTTCTAATTTTCCTCTAGTTTTACTCCATATTATTACATAAGAAAAACGATATTCAGATTCAAAGGACGATAAAAACCGTCAATGTTATTACTATCCCTTCATGATACAATTATTACAAAGCGATGATCACTTCTGCAACAAATCATTCAATTTTCGCGGCTTTGTTTGACGAAGCGAATTTCAGTAACCATATCATTAAGACCGACCAATCCACATTTCTTGCTCATAAAGACCTGTTGAACAGGTCCTCACGCAACGTATGAAATAACACATCAAATACCTGCAGCGATCGGTATTGATCACGCGACTTATTACATTTAGATTTATCCGAGTAAGTTTTAAGAATTCAAAGCGGTTGGTTGCGTAAAGTAGTTGCAAAGAAAACAGAAAAATTTCAAGAGAAAGTACAAGAAAGTGATACAGTAAAAAAAAAAGAGAAAAAAAAGTAAACTGATTTTTAACGATCTATGATTGTTTACAGTGTTGTGGAATCAACAATTTTCGGCATATATAAGAAGTAATTGTGTAAGATAAGTCAGAGTGTTTATAACAAGATAACGAGACTTCGGAGAGTTAAAATTCCTTTCTATATTGAATCCAGTTCAGTCTCTCTCTATACTAGTCTTCGAGTAAGATAACACATCTCGTGATGTACAGTCAGGTCAATATTTCGAACTACAAAGCGCTCAATTTTGGTGCGGGACCAGGCAAACTTCCGGAAGAGGTAATACTCGAATTATTACATTTTAAAATAAGTCTATTGTTTTATGTTTTATTTATTTCTTTAAATAAAAATATTAAATAGATATTAATTTACTTAAGAGATATTTTTTTCGATGAAGATTATTAGTATGGTATGTCAGCATCATAAGTAATTTGATAATTTTATTATATGTATATGTAGGTATTAAGACAAGTACAAAAAGAATTGCTTGAATATAGTGGTACTCAAGTAAGTATTTTGGAATTGAGTCACAGATCACCTGAGTTCAAAAACATTATTGAAAATGCACAAGAAACGTTGCGAGAAATACTGTAAGTTATTATAAAAACATACAATTTAATTTTTTTTTAAACAATTGATCTTGTCAACGAGTCTCGAGTAATATTAGAAAATATTACAGAGAAAATGAATTATTTAAATTTTACAGATATGTACCCGATAATTATAAAATTCTATTTATGCAAGGAGGTGGAACCGGGCTTTTCGCCGCTATTCCTTTAAATATGATGAATAATGGTACTGCAGACTACATAGTAACTGGTAAATTCTTAAATATCATTCTATATTATGAAACATATGAAGCATCTGAGACTATAAGAAAATATAATTAATACTATCCAAAAATACAGATGGATTATCTCTTATATTTTAATGTAAATTCCATCTTCAAGGCACATGGTCAGCCAAAGCAGCAGAAGAAGCAGCCAAGTATGGCAAAGTGAATTTTGTTCTGCCAAAAACCACAAAATACATGGAAATTCCTGATCCATCGTCTTGGAACTTAAATCCTAAGGCATCTTACGTTTACTATTGCGCGAATGAAACAATTCATGGTAACTAAATAATAATAATAACAATAATAATAATAATATAAAAAACAAATAAACGATAATCTCATCGTGAACAATTGAAAAATACCTTATTATTTAAGGAGTTGAGTTTAATTATATTCCTGAAACTAATGGAGTACCCTTAGTCGCCGATATGTCGTCCAATATACTCACAAGATGTCTTGATATTTCGAAAGTACGTAACATTTATCCTTAACGATAAATAGATTAATTATCATAACATCGATCAATTAATCATTATAATATATTATTCAGTTTGCAGTAATATTTGCTGGCGCTCAGAAAAACATAGGTCCGGCTGGCGTGACTCTCGTGATAGTGAGAGACGACATCCTTGGTCATGCTATGGACACTTGCCCAACAATATTAGATTTCACTGTTATGGCAAAAAGTAACTCTATATACAATACACCACCAGTATTTCAGTAAGTATTTCTATAAAGAACTTAACAATAAAATAATTCTACATTCTATGTAGAAAAAATATATTAAGTTTTTGTTGTCAATAATTCTATTTTGATCTATTTTGTAAAGATATATGTGAATGAAGATAAAACATTTCTAAAAATATTTGATTTTCAGAATATACGTAGTCGGATTAGTTTTCAAATGGATCAAAGATCGCGGTGGTGTTGAGGAAATGGAGAAACTGGCAATTATGAAAAGTCGTAAGATATATGATGTAATCAAAAATTCAAACGGTTTCTATTCGTGCCCAGTTAATCCAAACGCAAGGAGTAGAATGAATGTGCCATTCAGAATAGCCACAAACAATGAAGAACTTGAAAAAGAGTTCATATCCAGCGCGACTGCACGCGGATTGCTTCAGTTGAAAGGTCACAGGTCAGTATATCTAAAAACTAAAATTACGTTTCACATTATTGTCTACTGTCTTCTAAAATTACGTTTTACGTTATTGTTTACTGTCTTCTAAACGTATTTAATTACAGATCAATAGGTGGAATTCGAGTGTCGCTGTATAACGCTGTTTCTGTAGACGAGGCAGAGGTATTAGCAGCATTTATGATACGGTTCTTTCAAAACTATGGTTACTAATAGATTATAAGATGGTAAAGATTAAAAAATCGAAATATAATTTGGGAACATTACTCGGTTAAAACTAATTTGTATGTATGTATAAGATATAAATGATACATATGACCTATCAGTTTTTTATATATTTTATAGAATTTGTATAATATTAGTAAAAGAAATATTTAATTTAAGAACATTCATTGTATTTCTAAATAGAATTATCTAACATTTACTGCTTTAAATTTACTTTTATTTTTACATTTTGCAGCGTTCAAGTTTAAAATTATTATTTCAATCGAACATTAACATCATGGTATCAATGATCTTTTACATGTACAACTTTCTCTATCTTGAGCTATTCTGTTTGCAAATATTACATCTAATTCTCTTTCTAGACTACAATTAGTTCCACGACATCCATCAATCACAGCTTTGGACCACTGTAATTAATATTTTTTACAAGTTTCCTTACTTGTTTCATTAATATACACCTTGAATCATTTTTTTATTACCTTGAAGTATTCTTTTACTCTATCTTGTGACCAACCAACTGGTATAGCTCTTTGTAGATCTCTTAAATTATATAATTTATCTGCCAAGTTGATTAATTTAGCTTTATGACTTTTCTTTGAAGCATTCTGTATTTGTAATCTTTTGCGTTCCGCTTTTGGTAAACTTTTATCATCAGTTACTTCTTTAACGATGTTACAAACCTCTGTACCAAATTGATTTTCTATCTCTTCAAATGTAGTATTAGTATCTTCTACAATATCATGCAAAAGGGCTGCTATAATTACAACAGGATCATGAATATTGCCCTCTTGAATCAAAATATTTGCTACGCCTAAAAAATATGTATTTTACAATGTCACGTGATCATTTAAAATCATAGTAACTCCGTTTTCTCCGGTTAGTTTTAAAAATTTACAAACCTATGGGATGATTTATATATGGTGTTTCTTGTTCATCTTTCCTTCTCTGATCCTTGTGCTTTATCGCTGCAAAATTTACACATTTGATTATTATTGATAACAGTTCCGCGTTAGTCAATTCTCTGGAACATAATTTGCAAGATCCAACCACCGTGATCGGATCATGATTGACACGCAGTAACGAATTATTATCCTCCATATTTGATCCGTTACGTTATGATTCACAATTCTCCACTTCCTGTCTCACGATTAAATATAAAAGAATTGTCGAGATCAATATGAAATTAATTAGAATGACAATAAAAGGAACTTAAAATTACACATAACGAGCATATTTGTGTATTTGCTTTCTTGTCAATTCCCATTTCTTATTTTAAATGTATATCGTGGAACAGATAGAGCTCTGTAAGAGAAGCTAAAAATATGTATGTATATGAATTATAACTGAAAATGAAAAAATATATAATAGTAAAGAAACAATTTGCTAATTTACATTCACGCAGCTCGAATTTAATGAGATTATTAATGAATGATATTATGTACTTGTTACTCGTTGTTTATCCGAACGGTCTTGTCTCTCGTTATGTTCGGATAAACAACGTATTTACCGTATTTAATAGGAAATTGTTTTAATTAATGCTAAAATATGGAAAGCCTACAATTATATGAACATAATTTTAGATTCAACTTACAAATTATTCTGATCGCGTCAGCTGATGTTACATTTGAAACTCGATAATAGAAGAACTACAATTACAGTTGTCCGAGACGAAGCATACCAAACATAACCTAAACGTTGAGAGTTGCATTTGTTCTTTAAGAATATAATTTATTTCTGAAAATGTCGCTTAAAAGGAAATTGACGCAAGACGATTTACGCAAAGCTATGAGTGAACATAAAAAGAAGATAGGAGCTGTCAAAAAAATTGAATCGCCGCTAGCAAAATATCCTTTTTACTACGATTTGACATATTTTCAGGTTAAGTTTCTCCTATATTGTTTGTTTTGCATTGTATTATTTTAATTTTTTTTTTTTTAACATAATAATGTTTCGTTAATACTTCACGCCTAATAGTAACAAGAATTATGTGAAAGAAATTTTTTTTTAATATTTTTGAAAAATCCTTAACCAAAGTAAACACATATACAGATGCAGGACAGCTTATGTGTGTTTTATGCAAAGCCATTATACGCAGTGAAACAGTTTGGCCAGTGCATTTAAATTCAAAGACTCATAAAGAAAACATTGCCTTGGCAAAAAAGACAAAACTAGAAACAGATCCTACGAAAGTTCAAACTTTTAAAAGGCCTATGTCTCCTTCACAAGAATCATCAACGAATAAAAAAATAAAGGGTATATTAAAAAATTCCAGTGCACAATCAGCACAAGTTTCATCAAGTTTACCAGCCGACTTTTTTGATAATCCTAAACAAGTCAATGGCACAATCTCGTCAAGTACACCTATGGCAACACAGTGGTCAGAGGATAATAAAGAACCTGTACATGAAAAAGATCTGAAAAATATAGAAGTAGAGGAGGAAAAAGAAAAAGATAAAAGCAAAGATATAAATCAACCACTTCTTCCAGAAGGATTTTTTGACGATCCAGTCTTGGATGCTAAAGTAAGGCCATTGTATCAGAATCTTCTGCAAAGTCAAATTGTATGATTTTTATTGGAATTTTTAGGTTCGTAACGTTGAATATAAAAATCCTATTGAAGAGGAATGGGAAAAGTTTCAAAAAGAAATTAAAGAGGAAACGGCACAATCTGCACAAATCATTGCAGATGATCAAGAAGAAGCAACAACAGAAAGGCAATTAGATGAAATAGAAGAACAAATAAGGCACTGGTCTAGGTAATTCAGAAGATAATTAATTTCATTAACCGAGTACAGATTATAATGATTAAACAAAATATTATTTCGACAGGGTAATGGATCTTGTAAAACGTAAAGAACAAGTACAGGCCACTGACAGAAAACAAAAAAACGCAGACGAAGATATTTCCAGTGGTGACGAAACCGAATTCGATGAGTTTCTCGACTGGAGGGCCAAAAATTCTTATAAATGAAACTAATTTCAATTGTTGTACAGTATTTGTGATCTTGTAAATATTTAAAAGTACGTTTAAAGTTATTCTATATCCAGAAAGTTGTATTAAATGAATTTCTGGGCATTGTATAAAAAAAAACGAAATTTTTCACTCCTGTTTAAAAATAAAGTACAAATAAACAGTTTGTACAGTGTATTAAGATTTTATTAAAACGAATTCGAAGAGTCAGAATATAATTAAGTTTCAAATACAATTGTTATAGATTATTAATTTATCCGTTATAAGCTATATAATATGAAATGTATAATATAAAGATTACAAGGTAGGCTAAGCCGCTAATAAAATAGTGTGGGTAATATATTGCCAAAAATTTAACAATATCCACTTTCGTTACATACCGGACATTATAAAATATTGAAAATTGAAAAATGAGAGACTCGCATACTCGTTTTTTTACCCGCACCCATCCACGCGCAATAGCTAGGAAATTCTATAATATGTAATCGCTAATCAAAAGTTCCTCGCATGAGTTACAACTAACATCTGCCTCGAGGGATATTACGTTACAATCTCCGAAAAGTTACGTCTTTGTAAGATTCCAATTTACTGTCTAGAAATCCTGCGCTTTAAATATCTCTTAGTGTTTTACAACGTAACACTAAAATCACGTAGAGCTTAGTTCTTACTCTTACGCGACTTCATATTTTTTTTTTTTTTTTTTTTTTTTTTTTTTTTTTTAAATCGAGAAGCAAGAGCTACACTTTACGAATACATTGTGTCGTATATATTATAATATATAAATATTTCGAGACGAGTATATATAATAATCTTTCTTTTTCTTTCTTTTTTACGTTATTTACCCTAAAATCGAATCACAACGTTTCTTCATCGCGAACCGTCCAACGATCGTAATAGTCGAACATTGAATTTAAGACGGATCATTGAATTTAAGCACAAAATTCGATCAGACGAAACTTTTAAGCTTAATCCTTAAGTGTACGTATAATTCTACAAAAGCTCAAAACGTGCGAATACGCTACGTAGTCCCTTAAGAAGCAGGCGATGTTGGTGATTACATTAATTCGTTAGAGTAATATTCGCTAGAGTGTTCAGAAGAAATAAATATTCGACCTTAACGATACTCATTGAACGATCGTTTATAATACAATCAGACAAATTGTGCTAGATACGAAAGGGTTACGTAGGCTGTGTAACGAGAAACTTTTACAAAATCGCAAAAGTCGTAGCTGAAAGATCGCTTCCTAATGACGACGTATATATATATATATATATATATATATATATATATATATATATATATATATATATATATATATATATATATATATATATATCTATAATTATCGTGTATTTGTATTTCGACAAAGCACTGACGAAGATAGTTTCCTCGCAGATCGACAATCTTTCATCTCGATCTCTTCATCTCCGATCAACATCTCTGTTTCAAACTCAGCGTTGATAAAGATATTAATCTAATTATATCTAATTTTTTTTTTTTTTTTTATTTCGGGACGTCCCATCGTTGTCAGCGAGAATTGTCGGTTTCTTGTTGTGTTTTCATGCTGTGTCTTTCCGGTTTATCGGAGGTGTCCTGTTAGTTTTTATTGAACGCGACGAACGCGGGAGAGAACAGCGTCTCGTCGATCGAATTATCCACGAAAGATTATCAAAAGTGGTCGCTGGTTGAACTTTTGTACGATGATTTACTTGATAAAATGATTCACTTACATACGCGTATAAGCAAATTGGTGTCGTCACAGTGAGCTCGCTTCGACAGGAGAGATCGATGTACGTTGGAGCAACGTGGTCCCACGGGAACGACAAGTAATCCAAACACTTCCCCATATTTGGATTACCGTGTCGTTCTTCCGTGTCTCTATAAACTGTGACACACTTTGGAGAACAACAGCTTGACATTCCAGGTGATTCTACTCATTGAAATCGTTTCGAGATCACAGTTGATCGCACATGTTTAGAAGAAGTACGGATTTGTTGCCTCGACGATCGACGGTACTGAATTAATTCCAATTTTTGGTTTCCTTAACTTCCGATGTCCCCACTTCGAGATTTCTTATACAGTTGCTTAACAAAATTATCAACACACTCTGTTACAAATTCCAAAGGGTATACCTTTCAGAGGAAAGGAAGATTGCTGAAGTAAATCGAAATAACGGTCCATCGTGTGACAAACAAATTGTGACGAATCATCGATCCGATTAATCCGTTAGATACTTCGGAAGAGAAATAAAGGAATTTAATGAGAATCGAAGGATGAGACGTTAATTAGCCTCAAGTCCCATTATTTTGGATTGTTATCGAGTCGATTGTACGAGAAGTAGAGCAAATATTGTTCACTCCTTCTACGTAGGAAATGTGTTTCTCTGGATCAGAGAGCGCGACGATGGCAAAATATGTGTATTCCACCGTTTCTTACGATACGAGAGACTTTTACAAAGTGAGCGAGTGTCTTTGAGTGATAAAGACGAGGCACTCGGCTTGTTTCTTCTTCGTTAATTTTCCTTTGCTTTTTTGGCTTTTCGTTATCGCAAGGGTGGAGGGAAACTAACGACTCGAGAAAAGCATCTTAATCGATAAACTGCTCTAAACCGCGTTAATTATTACACTAGCGATGCTCTTACAAGCGAACGATTACTTTCCACAGAGTTGAATTATATAAATTGAAAATCGTGTCAATGGACATTTCGTTGAGATACGAAGGAATGCGATATATATCGAGTCTCGATTGCTTAAGTAAGTACGGAACACTATGGAGGGGACGTTCCATCCGAAAACTGAAACCTTCCCCGAATTTCGTTTACGGATCAGATCGATCCCTCCTCGTTATCCTCTGAAAAAACTCTTATCTAATAAACATTTGCTCGTCTCTCTCTTATTCACGAAACGCACCTGCATTCGTCTCTCTTTACATTCTTTTTTTTTTCGTATTTTCGTCGTTTCTTTTTTTTGTTTTTTTTTTTTAATTTTTATATTCCACTTTGAATCTTTCACGAAAATCACACGTGCTCGTTAATTCAATCGTCGTTCAAATCTCACGCAACGGTTATCATTTATCGATTTGATCGTTTGAACGATCGTTTTAAAGATAGCGTTAATCGTTAGAAAGACGTACCTATTTAACTTGATATTTTACGGCGCGGATGCTATATAAATAAATCGTTATGGGTGCAGAAGACAGAGTCCATTTTAGGTGCGGGATCGATAATAACTAAGCGAGTCGAGCTTACACGATATTATGTAATATCTATGAATAATCTTTCCGTAAATATTGAGAATAATAATAATAGTAATAATAATAATTGCAGTGGTTAACAATAATATAACAATGATGATAGCAAGAAGAATGTCTGTTAGCTGTACGTTGCACATAGATCACAGAGTGGATACAGTCACTAGGCATTCAAAAAATTAATCTACAAATAGTGCAAATAGTGCCAAGCCTAGTATCATATATATATATATATATAATCTTTTTTTTATCCTGGTTATTTATATATACATATGTATATATATATTATATATAGTAGTATATCTATACATATAAACAGATATACCATATATACACAAATATGTATATATATATACATATATATATATATACATAGATATACATGTATATATAATTTATTTATTTATTCACCTAATTAATTTCATCTTCTTTTTTAGCTGTAAATACTATATACGCGAGAGCGCAGGCACTAAATTGCTGAGATACAATCGTACCAGACTATCAATGATTCTCGGGAAGGAGAAAGATGATTTCAATGTATATGTGTATGTGTGTGTATGTAACTATATTGATATATCGTGTGTTTGTATGTATATATAGCATACCGTAGATCGACGTTTTGATAATGAGGCCTTGTGCAATTAATAGTCAGGTAATACAGTCGTACAAATTCATGTACAATTTGTATTTGGTCGTGTTTCTATCTAAAATGAAGTACATCTCGAGGTGATATTTCGTCTGTTCTATTCTTTTTTAATCCGTTTGTTCTTGCAATAAATTTTCTAACAGTTCACGCGAAAAACGTAAATCTTTTCAACTTCTTTGTCTTCTTTTTTTTTTTTTTTTTTCTTTCTTTCGAAAGAATCTTTTTGAACACGCGAACACACGTCTCTTTCATTATCATCGTGTTTGACGAATGTTCCTCCTCGAGGAGCGAATAAAGCTTGTCTCGTAAGGCAGACGACTATAGAACGGTTCGAGCAAGAAACTTGCTCGCAAAAATTCAGAAACGTGAGAAAGTAAAGTTTTAAAGGAACGTTCGACGAAAAGGTGGATAAGGGATAAGAGTAATCTCGGACGAACAATCGATCGTGAATGTAACGCCTACGAATCTCGCGTCGACAGGAAACGATCGTGTAGCGTTATGCATATATAAATGCATACATGTAACGCATATTGTGTCTCGTTCCCTCGTTACGCGTAACGAACATGATCGTGCACGATTTCTTATTAATTCTTACTTTAAACATGGTTGTCGCGGAGCAGATAGAGCTCTGCTCGACAGTGTGCTTAATTATCACGCGGCTTGATTGGTTCACTACGCTGCTACGTATGTAATTGTACGCATAGCGTGACCCCCTCCCCACACGATGTCGGTTCAAACACTTTTCGTCTGGTCCCATTCGTGTTGGCTTCTCGAAAAGAAGAGCCAGAAAAAGAGTACCTATCATTTTTCTGGCATGAACGATCGGTAATTCATCGACTGATATCGTGCTGGCATATACAATACGTAACCCACGGGAAGGATCTGCCAAGAAGTCTCTCGCAGGCACGATCCCCTTGTCATCCTGCAGCAGACACCTTCTCCATTCCTTCGTACGAATAATAACATATCGATTTTGTATCAGACCAGCTGACGATTTGACATATGTACCTACAGTACGATAAAGCGCAGCTACAACATCAGAGTTCTATCTTTTAGCTCTGGTCAAGATCTCGATTACTCGAGAACGATTACTGTCCGTTCTGGATCCGTAAAACATAAAGCAGTGAGTCGGTTGTACATACGTTTCGTGTAAAGGTTACATTTCAGGTTAAAGGAATCGAGTATCTCGTACGGTGGCGTAATATTCAAAAATGTACAATAGAATTGATATAGAGATAAAAGACAGAACGCGATTATATATATATCTCGCAGACGGAACCGATCTGGATCGGTTCTAACTGATTGTTGACGGATCGCCGTTTTTTTTTTCTTTTTTTTTTCTCTTTTTTTTTTTGGCGTTCGTCTGAAACGATTGTTTGCACTCACAACATTTGTTAGAAAGATCGTCTAGTATTACTGATTTGATAGTGTCGTTTATAAAATACGAATTCGTTTCTATCGTCTAGAGATTGATTAGCTTGAAAGCGATGAATCATTTTTGCGTGAGTGGCGAAACGTACGTTGTCGTTTGGTCCAAACATCGAAGGAAAAGAAACATGGCGAGTCGATGTGAAGCTTCGTATTTCACGGACAAATGACGCGCGATGACACGTCTCGTGCCATGTTTCGCCTTCAGATTTCATTGGCCCGTCTGTAACGCGAGTCAATAGCAAACGAACAGACCGTAAACGAGGAACCTTCGTCTCGCGAATCGGCGACTCGCGAGGCCAAGTTTCCCTCTTTTTGCTCGTTGAAAAGAATTTGTATATGTTTCCAATTTCCTTGTCTTTCTTTTTTTCAAACGCAACAAAAATCTAAACGGTCTATAAGAATTTATATTTTTTTTTCGAGTAATCTACGGTAAGGTTTCTGACAAGATCCGACGGCGATTTCACGGCCGTAGGATCATCTCTTCATTTCTTCGTGCAAAACACTTTGAACATCGAACTCGAAACATTTCCAACGATACCGTGAAATTTCTCTAACTGTTCGTCGAAATCGGCGATTTGCAATCAAAAATTAAACGACGATTATCTCGCAATCGATCGGTAATTTCTCAAATTGCGCGTCTTTGATTATCCTCGTTGAACTTTGATTCATGTAGGAACAAACGGCTACTACGCAAATGCACGTTAATCGATTCCTGAATGTCGTGCCGAAGCCAACAGACGTAAAACGCAAACGAGCAAGTTTTTTCGCGTGGAAACAAAAAAAAAAAAAAAAAAAAAAATTTGGAAACAAAAAAAAAAAAAAAAAAAAAAGAAATAGGAAATAGAAAATAGAAAATAGAAAATGCGAGTGAAGTAAATTTGTACGTTCTGAAAGAGAGATTGCTCAAGTCGCTTCGCTGTAGGGCGATCCCTCGCGATCGTCGTTGGTAGGAAAATGACAAATGGCAACGATGATCGTGAGCGCTGTTGCTTCCGTTCTCCAAGGGGTCTACGCCTTGGCCTCGAGAATTTCCACGGTGACGTTCTCCAATACGGTTTCCGTCATGTTGCTCGGCTGATTCGGCGGGGATTTGTTCGATTTCGTCGAGACAGCCGACGCGTTTCCACTGCTGCCGCGGCTTCCGCGTCGTGATCCTGTTCGTGACCCTGGCGACAGAGATTTTCTTGCTAAAGTATCGCGTGCTTTGTCGCGACCGCATGCCTCTGACATGACATGAAAAGCTGGAATAAAGTTGAAAGCATGAAGAACCGCGCCGAGGGAGTTGTATGTAATATAATATAGTTCGATCGGAGCGGATCCTTCGTCGCGATTTAGTGAAAGAGATGAACACAGTCACGTATGTACAATGGCGATCGTGTGAAATATCTTCCTCAGAAGAAACTCGACAAGTTCCTTCCGTCGAACGAAAATCAAAGGATATTTACCATTTTTTCTGTTATGGAAACTTCATATTCACAATTTTATTCACGACCTGGTGAATTATTTATCTGTAGATCATAAATCGACTTTATAATGCCGCGTGACTCGATAGTTGCTGAATTTAATTGAAACTTTTGTTAAAAATTTCGAAGCGCTGCTTTGCAATTAATATTTTCACTTGTAATCGCCACTGTGTGAGCGGTGCATGCAATTGTCTAACTCTACAAGTGCTCGAGAACTCGAAAAGGTGTTTGAAGTGAAACTTGACTCGATCGATTTCACCGTGAATGAATCTTCAGCGAGGAAAACGGCAGCAAATCTTCGTTTGCTCGTGGCAAAAAAAAAAAAGAAAAAAAAAAGAAAAAAGAAAAAGAGAAAAAAAAATGGTCGATTACGTCGAGGTTTTCATCGGCCGTTCAGGTGAAATCGATTGACGATCTATCTTACCGTATGACCGGGATGCATTCCTCGAATGCGAGCCGATCTCTTGTGAAACTACTTCAGAACTCCGTGCGATAATGGAAATGCCACGCGTATACTATTTTATTAATTTGTCGTCGTCGTAACTCGTGTATCGCACTATTTGCTATGTATGTAATTAGGCTACACTACGCGGAGGAAATAAAAAATTTCTTCTCTCTTCGCGGAATGATCACTTCTCGATTTCTTTAATCGCAATTACTTTCCACATAAATTTGCTCGAAGCAAATAGAAAGGCAATGTTCCGGATGTTTTCTTATTCCCTCCCAATTTGATCTACAAATTTATTGAATTTTTTTCCATCGTTACTTTGATACGCCAGTAAGTAAATGATCGATTAGACTATGAATATACTGGCTTTTAGAATCACGATCTCTACGACAGAATTATCATCATCATACGCAAGCAACGACTTCTTTTCTTTTTTTTTTTTTTTTTTTTTTTTTTTTTTTTACTGTAGCAAGCGACTATAGTCGTGATCCTCGAGAACGCTAGATAGAGGAGACTCGGGTCTATTTTGCATCTGATAGAACTCACACACTTCTAGGCTCGAAGTTCTGACGTATCCGAAAGAGGGTAAGTAACCATAATATAGGGCTATATACAAAATATACACACATAATATACGTAGACATAATGTATATAATATGATATGTATACATACACGTGCACGTGTATATATACATACGCTAGCATACGATAACATCGTAAAAACTTATAAGAAGAAATATGTAATGAAAGAATTCGTAAGAGTACGAAACTTACCCTCTTCGAAGGACGCGTCAATTTGAAAAGTTTTTTACAATAGAGCACCTCATAGGTCCACAGTATATGATAATCAAGAACAACGGTCACAGACGGGATCATTAAACAGACTACTGCTATAGATGGTCGACTGCAAAGAGAGTCAAATCCATTAAAACAGAGGAACATGATTATGGCGAGTTAAGATGCATCGTTCTGTCGCGGCGTTTAAAAATCGGTCTCGTTATATCGTTTTTTTTTTTTTTTTTTTTTTTTTTAATGGCTCTTCGACGATTTTTCAAACAGCTTAACCCCTTGACTTTGCGTTTACAATCACTTGTTAATCTCTACTGTGATATCTACTTGCATTACTTTACGTGTCGAATTTTTAAACATAGAGCTGAAACAGAAAATTGTGCACGCCAATAACAATGCTTGACCAATTAACAATCGATGACATAAATATTAGCAATATTAGTAATTATCACGAATTTCAAAAAAGAGTGCAATTAGCCAGCCAAAGGGTCATCCAAACACGCTTTATTCGTTCACCTTCGAGTTCACTTACGAGTTTTGATGCAATTCACTTAACAACTGTCCCATGATTTCATGAAATCGGAAAGTATACTGAAATGCGTTGAACGTAAAAAAATATACGATTTTCGTATTTCTGCCACAACACTTGTAGACGATGGGAAATTTTTTTGGGAGTAACTGCGTGTAGCTTGTTGAAAAACGATGCATCCGAAATAGTAAGAAACATCGATCTCGATGCACCCTCGAATAGAAAATAAACCAACAAATATCTACCCTCTTGGCAGGCAATTGTGCATGCGAGAATATCTGAAGGATACTGAGCTTGATAGAAGGATTCTAAAGTAAAGAATAGAATAGGCAACAGAGTAGGTAGTCACCTACTTTATAATACTCGTATCTATATTATACATATATGGGATGTTCTACGGAAATCGATATACTGGAAGATAGCTATTTTTAGCGCTAACTGATTAGCTCGAGGAACATTCTACCCCTTCTCTCAGTAAATTGGATTTAGCTACGAATTACATAAAATCGTGAATAATTTGGAAACAACAACCTGTGAGATAATTTGGAAACAAGAACCTGTCCAGAATCAAAATGATTACCGTTCTTTTTGTTCCTGGCTGAATGAACTGAAAAAAGAAACAGGAAAATATATAATAAAAAACGAAAAAGAAGGGGGGAAGGAAAAACAAAAGAAAAGAGGAGACGTAGTCGCGAAATCGTGAATATTTAAAAACAAATAGGAAAACAATGATCGTCTCTAGACTCTACATACCACCTGACGTGGTCGTTGCATTTTTTAAAAACTGAAAGTTCCGCTCGTGAGTATGAGATGCTTGCTAAACAACTGGCTCTACACGTGTATTTCACGAACATATAGATGTTTACCTTGAATATTTCACGCAACACACACGGTACCTCTGCGAAAGCATGAAGCACCACCGACTATAGTCACAGACAAGACCGTCTTTTAAAGCACGGTCGTTCGACAACACAGCAAACGCGGTGTCTTTTAACCTGCAATAACCCGTTACGTCTAAAACTATCATCGAGCAATTGAACGAGAGTGAAAACAGAGAAATAAAAATAGAACGTAACGTAGAGCAACGAGGAAACGGTAAAGAAAACGGCTGGCTCTTCGTCTCGTGCGGGTATTATTCCCGGTTTATCTTATATTCTCTCTAAAACTGGGGATGGAGGAGAGGGATGGGAGGATTAGGCTGCACGAGCGTCGAGGCGTCTCGATTTCCATCGAACACCCGATATAAAACTGGCGCGCAAAAGAGTCGCTCGCTTCGTTTCAACGGGACACTGTATAACAAGTTGCTTGCTTAGTAAGTGAATGAATAAAAACCCGTACGGCTCACTCTGTGCTGTGAGTGCTGAGAGTGTTTCGCACCTTGCGAGGCGTTCGGCGAGTGGGCGCGTAAGGAGGCCATTGAGGGTTGCCTCGAAGGGACCCGTACGCTTGCCCTTGAACCGCGTCTCTCCTGCGGGTGCAGCAGCTTGTTCTCCCTCAGTAACGACACGTTCATCAGACGGGCGTTCGGCGTATTGAAGATGGTGCGGTTCTCACGCCAGCGAGCCCTGCAAACAATAGAAATTGGAGAACAGGAATGATCGATTACATTTATAATCCGTTAAACGGATTAGAAGAAACATCGTTTAAAATTGAAGAAAAAAAAAAAAGATGTAAAGAAAGTTTATATATAAACTGCAAATGTGAAAGATCTTGATTTCGCAGTCTATTTATCACTCGAATAAAAAAAAAAGAAGCATTAACTCTGCATTAAGCATGCGACATGGTGGATCCATTTTCAGGCACGACTGCGAGGTTGAAGTAGGTCGTAAAGTCTCGTTACGAGAATTGGTAAAGACGAGAGTCACCGTGCACAAGATATGCAAATAGATGGCTTACTTGCTGAAAAGCCTAAGGACGACGCAGATGATGATGAACATGAGGGCCATACCAACGAGAACACCGATCATCGTAGGATCGATATATTGGAGATTGGGTTCTTCTTTCTGCTCGGCTGAAAAGAAAGGTATTTCATTCGTTTAATAAAACCTTTCCATAACAATTTCTCTCCTTTTCATATCGTTCCGTTCCATCTGTTTTCAAATAACGTTTTCATTATATCCTCAACGAGAGTAATTCAACGTTTTATTTCAATGAAACTTGGACAACCTCGAAGAGAAAAAAAAAAAGAAAAACAGAGAAAAAGAGTTACGAGGAAATCGAACAATCTCTCAATTCTTTCTTTCACGGTTCATATAAAGTTAGTATAGTTAACTGGGACGTGTCTTTTCACAAGTTAAAGTTAGATATTCTTTGTACATCTTTCGTTCCAGTGAATGATCAAAACTTACGTTGTACGTAACCAACTACAAACTACTTCAATATTCACCTGAAAATACCTTTATTTCTATAAAGACAGATATCTTCTTTCAGTTACTTTAGTCGCTTTTTACAAATAAAACTCTATTCACAGTGAACCGGTAAAATTACAAAAGAAAAAGTCGATAACTTTCCTCAATTTACTAATTATAGTTTATATGATCGTGCGAAAGACACCATATTTAGGAGTTCGCCATATTTAAGTCAGCAGCGAATGTTTTATGACCTCCTGGACCGCGACTCTTTTTCCTTCTCTTTTTTTCAATTAAGCGTCCAATTTAATTTACAACGCGTCAACAGCGAAGATAAAAGCGTGAAAAATATTGAAGTGACAACGCTTTTTTAATTTCTAGCGGCGGAAGCTTGTATCCCGTGCCGTGATAAAATTTCCCCGCGACCTGTTAATTGATCGCGCTGAAAACAGCTGACGAATTAATGAACTCTGCTGGATTTTAAACCAGGAATTCCATTAACTCGGGACGGGTAGTTGTCGCGAGTAGAATCTCATTAAAAAGTACGCGGAAACTCGCGGGCCACCCTCCCGTTGCTGTTCCTCTCTATGTTTCTGCTCTTACCGACGCACACAATCGCGCCATCAGGCTGGGTAACCGGAATCTTCTCGAAGATGCAAATGCAACGACCGTCCCTGCACTCCGTTTGGCTCACCCTCGCCTCGCATTGTTCGTGGAAGAAGCACGACTCGTTCACGTTCACCGCTAAAAACAAAAACCATTAACAACAGGCTCGTCCCTCGTTTCTCAACGAGGAAGCGAGGCAAGTGTACGAATATTTTATGAAATATTACTCTTAAAATACGTAACGTTCCTCTTTCAAATGCCGCTATAGAAGTTATTTTTACGTCTCTTTTGTGTTTTTTTTTTTTTTGGTGCTTATTCCGTATCAGAAAAGTGACATATTTAAAGAATTTTTAATTTTGGGAATTGAATTGTATCATTCTTTTATCAAGCCATTGGTATGCAAAATTGAAATGGGAACAAAGCAAATATATGTATAAAAAATGAGTGGCTGGTGGTGGTTGATCTTTCGATAGTTGACCTGTCGATATGTCAGTGCTGGTAATACTCAGAAACGTATTTACGCTGAATGGTATGACAAGCCATTTTGCTAACTTCGGAGTCGAAGAAGTATTTCAACCTCTCACGGTTCTTTATAATATATAAGTTATTATATTAAAAGCCAAAACTTCCGTAAATCGAAATTTGTATAACTAACTTTTACCTGTTTCTACAAATATTTTAACACATTAGTATTCTTTTCGTTATTATTCTTATTTTATACTAAAAGAAGAAAGTTTGTTAAAGTAATTATCGTTCAATCTGCCTTGGATTCCCAGTCAGACTTCGATTCAGCCCCTTGAAACTTGAAGCCAGATTGCTTTATCCTACTTTCCTTTCACATCTATAGATACATATTAAACGATATAAACTTGCGAATTAGCGCGAATAAAGTCGATCACTTTTTCTCTTTCAACTCTAGTTCATAGACAGACTATAAACGTGACGTATTTCGACTATTGTCCGTGAGACGTTATCAACGTGTCAGTCGATCGTACGATGACCTGATGCCCTACTATTGTTTCTAAGCAGCTGTCCATCATCATGCGGTCACTTTATAAAATCACCATTATCCGATTTGTGTGTTCAAGTTCGATTACATTGAAATGCGGTTCGGAAATCAATAGCGATCGTTCACGGTTATAAGAAGGACTTGTTTGCTTGTTAGCATATTTGTGGAGGATAGTGTAGATCCGGAGGTTAATGTGGCGAATCTAATCGACTGATTATCCGCCGCACTGCCCTCGATATACCGGCCACAGGCTCGCAATTAGGAGAGTGGATTAACAGCCATCGTGCTTTATTCCTGACCGAAGTAGTATGTTTTCGTTTGCTCTTCTTTTTCGGATCACTGGCGAACTCTTGCATCGTTCCAGTTGAACTTCAAGTTCAGACTGATAACAAATTGGTCTTCTCTAAGTGTCATGGACATTTGCTGGGAGGAAATGTGAAATCGATTCGACTTGATCTGATTGTAAGCATCTTCGATAACAGAGGTTGCAGAATTTTGTGAAGCTTGTGATTGATCTGGAAATGTTATTATATGCCGAGAATCCAGAACTAAGGGAATAGAAAGAAAAGGAAAATATCAATCGATTGATTGTAATTTATATATTAATTACAACGCGACGTCTTCATTAATTTTATTTTATTTTATTTCGTCATATATATGAAGCGCAATTAGAACGATAGTTGCCAGTGCAACGTTTGCAAAGGAATTCAATTAAAAACGGGCAAACCGAAGCGACGTAATCTGGGCCACTGAATTCGCCGTTCCTGCTTTCAATTTCTCGCGATGCTTCTAACACCCGAGACCAATAAAAGCGCGGTCTTGTTTGAATTCTACGAGAGAAGGCCATAAGCAACCATCCCCGGACATTCGTACCATTCCAATCGGTAAAACTCGGTCTTAATAAAAGTTCGCCTCACTGAACGTGATTCGACTGGAAAAACTTCTTGTTTTCCTCCTGTGTTTTACAAGTCATCTTCATCGTGGATATTCTTGTCATTGTCATTATTGTTCATTCTGTATTTTTTAATTGTTTTAATTGTAATTTCTTGATACTGTTGACCCATATGTGATTATAACAATGTTTATATACATACGTGTTAGAACAGTATAATTAACTCGAAAAGAACGCAATATCTAGAGTTAAATTTGCAAAAAAAGTAACTTCATATTATTGTGGATCACGTACGATTCAACGATTTCAATTTGGGATTAACATTATCGCAACATCGTTGAACGGAGATGGGACACTTACAAAATTTCTGGATGCGCTTTTCCGACACACTTGAAAATATACTAACTTACGGTGTCCACATTTGTCGATATGATTCGTCGCCTCGAATTCCTCCCTGCACGTGCATTTGCTCTTCTTTGGTTCGCAGTAAGAACCACTGAAACCGCATTCACGATCTTCCACGCAGTCGTCGCCGAATTTTTTTGTTCCTCTGTCAGTTAAATCTGTAAAAAAAAAGAAAAAAATGAATACGAGATCCATTAGCGTTAAAGATTCATTAGTTAAGCTTTTACATTTTACATTTTAACTGTGGCAAGAAAAACTTCCTCTTATTGCAAGTCACGAAGTTAAGATTTAGGGAGAAATTTTCTAGTCGAATAAACAAAATTCACAAGGGAGAGGATTTAAAAGTCGAAATCGATCGAATACAAGCTGCGCTTAGTCACAAAATTTCTACGTATGAATTATTTAACCAAGACGACAGCAATCAGATATTGAATTTTCATCGATAAATCGCTTTCGAACCCAACGACAGGATATAGATCCCGCAAGCGAACCGTAATTCAACACCCTACGCTCTAAGCAAATATATCATCCGTTGTGTTTCCAACCTCCTATCGGCTATCCGCATGACGAAGCGGTTCGGTCTGGTTTTCGTGATTGTGCCGCAGGTGCCGCGTGTATTTACATTTTACGATTCCATTTGTTAATACCTGCAGCCGGCTGTGAAGTTAATTTCGCTGTAACTACCTGAGTGACAATCTATTAATTTGCGCACAAATACGCACAAGAGGAGCTCATCCGTGTATTTTAAACAACGTTCCCTCTCTGTATACTATTTCCCAGATACGTTGGAAATGGTGCTATTTCATTAAAGTTAAAAGTTACCGCTATTACGCATTTCATAGAAATTAAAATTTATAACACTGCATCGACAATATCTTTTTCAAAGATTAAATGTTTTATGAAATGTTTAAAACATGAGAGGAATTTGAAGAACGTTTTTGGCTTACATAGCTATATATGCTAGTTATGCATTTTACACGCAGTTTCCGTGGTTCGCGGTTGCACAACGAGTTCATCCCTCCCACGCAATATTAATCTGAGTGTAGCCATGATTTTAATTAAATGAAGATACGCTTCTTGCGTTTCAGTAATTATAAATTAAATGCTGATACAACAGCGTAATACATATCCCTCCTCTTTTGTGAATGCGACAAACGTGCAATTTGATAAATTATTTGATAAATAGAAATTCGCACAGTGGATGTAAAATATAGAATTCTAGAAATCACGAGTTACCTGTTATCTTACTTATAAATGCATTGATACAAAATCAGAAACAAAGAAATTTCTTTAATCTCTTTTCTTTTATTAAAAAGTGATTTCCTTTAATTTCTTCAATTAAAAAGTGAAAATTTGCACGTTAACAATTTAAAACCAACGAAATTAAAAATCACGGTATATCAGTGTTATAACGATGTACACGATTACAGCAAATTTACAATCCAAATGTGTACTTGCGTTTCGAGGCAATTAAATTTGATCAATTGATCAACTTATAATATACTGAAATTTCAAATAGTACGAAACTATAGTAAGTTTCACTTCCCAAACTAAATCAGCTAAGCTACTCTACTAATATTTCAAAATAAAATAACTTACTTCGTCAACATAGTCTCGCGTCGTGTTTTTAAATTCAGTCAATTAAAATTAAAAATAAAAAAAGAAAAAAGCGTAGAAAAATCTGAAGGATGTGACAATTAGCGTACTTGGCTTCTTATCTGTGCAATTAACGCTTTTTTCGAGTGTGCTCTCCGAGGTTCAACAGACCGTCGAGGCGTTAAAGAATTTGAGGGCTGCTCGCCGCGACGGAGAAGGCGACGCCCGTAGGCAGAGTCAAGGAAGCAATCCTTTTTTGCAAGGCAAAGAGACCAAGCTTGATTACTGTATTGTCGTCGCATAATGGCACTTCTCTCGAATACGATCGTATTCAACTCGCCTGGCTGAGCAACCTAGAATACGAGTCATGGTGACGATTTAGGAAGATGCATCCACGACGATGAAATGGATCGTAAAAACAACGAAACCGTTTGCACAGTTCTAAGGAACTGGCAAATTACTCCAGCAAGCTGAGCTTATTTCGTCGTGGAAAGAGTAGAAGATCAAAAGGAAAACATGCGGTCGTTCGTCGTGCTCAATTTGATATTCTAAAGCTCCCATGTAAAATATGTACTTGGTTGGATGATTCGTTTAGTTTCATTTACCTAAAAAGATGGTTATATATTGTAGTATATTATTGTCACAATTTTAGCTAATAAGGAGGGAGTGAAAAGAAATAAAGGATTTTTCTACCAGTGGGAGTTAAGTTGGGAAATTTCACAGCAAAAAAACTCGAGGACTCAATGAACAAGTCAAATCGTCCATTTTCTTTTCACAAAGAAAATTAAAGAGAAGGAATGCTTTTGTGAAATAAATAACTACGCAGATGCTTTTTTGGATTGTTTCTTTTATCGAGAAAGAACTTCCTCAAAGGCCATATTTTTACCATTTGGCGTGACACACGTGGTCGTAAAAAGAGGATTTCGTTGCGATTTAGAATTCCTTTCCTTTAGAGAGTAGCTATGTATATTGTAGAACCGCGCAAAAGTGAACAAGCATACCTGGGCAGAAAAATTGTTCGACTCCGTGATACGTGCTGCTTAGAAAAAACATCCTCGCTGATGATGTGAAAATTTGTTATAACGCAGCGTTCTTTGAGGCTACTATTAACAAAATTTCTTCCTTTACTAAAAATTATTAAAACTATCAATTAAATCAAATTTTTTAATCTTAAATTTCTTGATACTCAAATCAAAGATTCCTTTCTTACGAGATTTAAATTTTTTAGCATTTCCTTCACTATTATTTCATTTTCATTTCGCTGCAGCCCTAAATTGGTAATAAAAGCTGCTTGAAATGAAATAAAAGCTTAACGATCTACTGGAATCATCGTGACATCCGCATGTACACATTTCCGTTCCAATTCCGCTTAAATGGGTTATTTCGCGCGTCAGGATCATTCGAGATAGCACGGTCGACGCTTTTCAATTTAATAAAGATTTGCGCGGAACAATCGATCAGGAAGCATTCCTCTCTTAAGTGTACTCAGGCGAAAGAACGAGAGATAGGAAATGGTGCGAGTACGTGTACAAATGGACATGTAGGATGATGTAGAGGCAAGAACATGTAAAGCCTGCATACGAAACGAGGGAACGTAGTGGTCACGACACTATCAGTATCCCGTAGATATCTCAAACAGCGAGAAAGGTGCGTGCAAAGTGCTTTCGTGATATCGTCAGGACGCCGCGACGGCGCCGGCCTCAATGCTAAACAATAACCCCCTTGCTGCGATATTATGCCACTGTGACTCGTAATTAATACTCGTTAGCGTTAATGTGAACCTCGCTGTCCACCATGCAGCTTTCACACTCAAATCTGTCTTCATTATTTCAAATCTGGTGGAATCGTCCATTACGTACAATATGTTCTCATCAATAAACGATCACTGTAATAAAAACAGACACCAGTTACCACGAGAGTTATGGACATAGAAGGAGAATTATATATATAGAATACGTATACTTATAACTTCGTATATACATATATTCACAGCTTTGGACATGAGCTATGAAATTTCGTATTTTACGTTCTGAAATACCGACCTCGAAAAAATCAAGCTGTTTCACACGCCCTCTGCGATTTGCATACGAATTATATATATATATCGTATATATATGATGTATACACCTCGTCTGTGCATATATTCAACTCAATCGTCAAAGACAATAGCCAATAGCTATAATTGTTATTATTTTAAACAGTTTCTTATTGTATACTCTACTAGTATCTGTAACAGCAAAATCTTGTTAAATGTAACGGAAGAGTGAGATCACTTGGATACAGAGAAACATTATTTCATCATGCACTGTCAAATTCACTAAACCAACGTACATGTTTGCCATATCAAAGTTACACTTTGTCGAAGTTACACTTGAATGGATGAGTGGAGAAAGGAATCTTTTACTTTTTTTGTTCTAAATTAGACAATGAAATATGCACAGACAACGATCTTAAGTAAAGATCACAGCGCCAACGAGACGGTGAAGTAAGGTAATTATAAAATGTGCGATTCTCAAACGTAATCGATATGTTTCGATATAGAGCATTGAGATGCACGTAGTGTCAGTTTTTAGCGGGAAGTGCAGGAAGAAGGTGTATCACTCAACAATTGTTAGATGAAGACTATAATCACCACTTGTTTTCGTTTAACATTTAGGATTTAGCACGGTGAGTAATGATTAAAAGAATTATTAATCGTGTCATATACACACAGGGTGTCCCAAAAGTTACTATCTATCTTGAACACTAATGGAAGTACAGGTTAAGACAACGATCTTAAGTAAAGATCACAGCGCCAACGAGACGGTGAAGTAAGGTAATTATAAAATATGCGATTCTCAAACGTAATCGATATGTTTCGTGTTCGATATAGAGCATTGAGATGTACGTAAAGTGTCAGTTTTCGGCGGGAAGTGCAGGAAGAAGATGCTTCACTCAGAAATTGTTAGCTGAAGATTATAACCACCACTTGTTTTCGGATTTAGCATCTAGGATTTAGCACAGTGAGTACAGATAAAAAAATTATTAATCGTGTCATATACATACAGGGTATCCCAAAAGTTACTATCTATCTCGAACACTAATGGAAGTACAGGTTAAGACAACAAAATAGTTTTATTCAGCACTAATACGCCGTCAAAGCCTTAGATTTCAATGATATTAAATAGAATGAAACTTCCTTTCAAAATTCTCTCTAATTTCAATACACTTTATACCTTTGATCTTTCATGTCTGCAAACACTCGTTCTTCCATGGTCCAAAATATGAAGTCAAAATAACTTCGTTTACATAGATATATTGGCATCTGTGATCATTATGCCTATAAACTATTTTCAAAAAGGAAGACCTATCTTCGAAATAGATAGTGGCTTTTGGGACACCTTGTATTCAGTCACTTGGTATATTTGAGTATCTGTCACAGAGAATTTTCACGTATGTAAGAAAATTTTTATAAAATTGCATTTTGTAAAATTTTGATCTGGTATAACCAAACGAAATGATAGATTTAATGGAATGAAATTTTAAATGTACATGATATGTGATATGTTCGTTCTTAAAAACATTTTCGAAGGACACTGTTTTTTCACCGAATCCTATTCGTGCACGGTCGGGTCCCGACGCCACTAAATTAGTTCCCGACGCGAACCTGTTGCGCGGGGAATTAGTCCATTATCGAAAATCATGGTGTTAAGATGTATTATATTAGTCGCGCAAAATTTTTATTGTCATCATTCGTATCTTTATTCATATCTACATCACTGTTAGCATCGTTTAATTAACGCATATATGCTTTCACTCACATAATGATTTTATTTAAATATTTATACTTGTTACAACATTAAACTCGTTGTATGTTATGTTGAATAATATTTAATTTTATCACGTGTTTGATGATACTATAGAATTATTTCATTATTTGATTTCCATATTCAACATGATAGAATTTTAAAATATTAAACTTCAGTTTTATCTGTCTATGAACATATGAAATATCATATACAAGATAAATAGATTTCAGAATCAAGGCAACAGTCTTGAATATCACCGTTGCATTTCTAAAGATGTACTTTAGCAAAGCTTATGCTTGAGGATAGCTTTTTCACTTAGAATCAGTTATCGCTCATTGAACTTCATACTGTGACATGTACCTTATTTCTTTTCCCAGTAAATATTCATGTTAACTTCTTTTATTCACACATACATACAGCATTTTATTAAATTCTTCAAATCGATCATAAATGACCAAAGGATTGAAATTGGATGGATTCGTTTTGCAAAGGAGAACTCGTTTAAACTTTTCTATGAAAAAAAGAAAAAACTAGTGTATATTTGCGTAAACGAAGGATTATACTTTCTTATATTGAACTTCGATGAAACTCCACATTCGTTAAACTCCTTTCTTCAACGAGGATTACGTTCAGAATAGGATTCCGGCACTTTGGGAATAAAAGCAGGAAGTTTCCTGCATAATTCCTCGGCCAGGTCGAATTTTCGTGCGGCCGACTTCCTTCGTTACCGATACTGGAAGACGTGACCCGTAACTATCCGAGATCTCCCTGGCTTTGTGCTATTCATTCATTCCACTGAGCGAAATAAGACCGTCTCCATTGCGGCGAGGTAGAATGGGACAGGTTTCACGGTATACCGTCTCGCTCCCTCTGTTTAAAATTCTGTTTAAGAGCTTGAGACGATGATCAACCACGAAGTTTTTCTCGTTCCTTTTGTTCGCGACTATTGTCTTCCAACACTTTGTCACCAAGCTCTTCATTCTTTCGCAATGCGATCTCGCGTCCTATCTCTTTACCAAAGAAAGCAAAAGATACACTGATATCCTTTTTTCGCGTTGTAGACGATTATTCGAGGTAATTGATCTTCTTTCTCAATCTTTTAATTCGCAATTTTTCCCTCGAACCTAAACAAGCTCTTTCTCAAATATTTTTTGAATCGCTTGGTAGTGAGAGTGAAGATTCATTAGGTTTCTAGAATTAAACAAAAGACAGCGCTATATATTGAATTGCTCTTCTGTGGGAAATCAAAACTACACAAAACTACGGTTTTCTCTAAAATTTCTCGATTTTTTTACTCACGCCTCGCATTTGAGCCACCTGTGAAACATCACACACAGGTGTTGTGTGTCCTATCGACGCTAACTAACTAACAAGCAAAAAGAAAGCAACCGTCGAAGAGGGAAGTTGACGCCGGCTTGCAATTTCCGCTTTGAAACAGCTGTGTGAAACTGTGTGCAGGCAGGTAAAACGTGCAAACTCGAAGGCTCGTCAACTTCAAAGGAACTAGTTGTTCGCGCATAATTGCGTGGTCAGTTAACGATCTGTTCTCCTTGCTACGACCTGATGAAAGAGAGAGAGAGAGAGAGAGAGAGAGAGAGAGAGGAAAAAATAGCGGCGACCAAGCTGGAAGAACTGCTCGGTGACTCCAGCAGTAAAAATGGCGACTCTTGGGTCAATCTACGCGTTGAAAGTGGGTCACTTTGCAATGGCATACTGCCAACGATCTCACGTGCGAGCCGTCCCACGCCTGCTGCAGTCTGAAACTGGCAACCACCTTTCGACAGGGGCGGCCCAACAGGGTTGTAACGTCAGACGGCTGTTTGAACAGGCCGGAATCACCTGGAGTTGATTTTTAATCGACTCTCACGGCATTTTTCGCGGACAGTTTGATTTGTCGGTCAATTTATTAAACGATCCACGGTCGTTATTCGGGAGGCAATTTGGAAGCAAGTTTGGATAAATCTATCCGGCAAATTTGGATAAATCTATCCGGCGAATAATTGTCAGAGGTCGATCTGTTCTTCGAGATTCCCCAGTCATCGCGTTACGATTTCGAGTGTCGTTTGGTTTGTGAAAATTGATTTGAAAGTCGCTCATGCACGACGCAAGACGTTTCAAATTACGTATTACATTACGCTGAATGTCTGTGTATAATTTCTAGGTTAAATTAGGTTAATCGCGATTGATACAAATAATCTCGAAAGTTTATCAACGTTGAATTTGGAAATATGTGATTAGAATGTAGCAAATAATAGGCTCTGATAGGCAAATTATCGGTTGCTTGTTTGTATCCTGGTTATTTAAGTGGAAGGTTTGGGTATAATTAATTGGATGGTTTTTATATACTTGGTTCTCTTTTTTTCTCTCTCTCTCTTTTCTTTTCTTTTCAGTGTATATAGGTCTAATGTTATTTTTAGTCAGGGTTAAATTTCTTTCGCTCCTCTAAACGGCTGTAATAATCATGCAAGGATGCAGGCGGTAAGGGTAAAGGTCTAACTGCATCGAGTACGATAAGGGAAGAAGTAAAGAACACTAGAAACATCGCTGTTGTTCTATCTATACTATTGTGTCTCGTTCTTTAATATTGAAAAATAAACAAAACTAAGAAAAATCAATAATTTAGATTAAAGTCACAGTTTAATATTTAATAATTATTTATACTGAATGAAATCTTTCTTGAATAATTCGTGTTAATGATTTCTTTTTTTCTCGCGTAATAATAACAAAAATAAAAAGAGGAAATGAGGAAAGTCAAATTTGAAATTCGCTGGAGAAATCTTGAGAATCTATCATTTCTTCTCCTCTCGTATGTGTACAAATCTAGAGTCTGTATCAGAGACTGAAACCGAAATATTGTGAGGTTTAAGTATTATACCGGTAAGTATTATACCTCCCATATTATCGTAATATAACCGTTATTTGGGAAATTGGTTTTAATATCAGTATAAGACGGTTATACCGGTATTTTCATACGTATTTTATCGATATTTGATGTCCACAACTGTAAAAATACCGAAATATATACCGGTAAGATACGAAACACATTTTTCATTTTCTACGGACAGTGACTCTTATTAATATTCGGACATCATGCTGTTTAAAATATTGTTGTGGATTTCGATTGTTTATAATACTAAATTTGGATTAATTTTTTAATAATATAATAGAACATTCATTATAGTTTATAGTAACATAAATTTTATTTATTTATTGCA